GTCACTTAACCCTATTTGCCTCAGTTTCCTCATCTGTAAAATGAGCTGGAGAAGGAAATGGCAAACCACTCCAGCACCTTTGCCAAGAAAATCCCAAACTTGGTCATGAAGAGTTGGGCGTGACTGAAACAACTGAACAACAAGAAGAAAATCCTTACCATTACACTGGAAGTATATGCCAACCCATTAGGTTTAATTATATTAGAATACTATCTTTCCAGTGACCAAAATATTTATATCCACTTTTCAGGACACCTTCATCTTTGAGTTCAAGATAGTATTTCATAACATTGAACTTATAATCAGAAGGTTCCTTGCTGCATATGCTGTCAGAGCAAAGGGAATGGGCTGTTTTTTGTTTGTTTTTTTAACTAGTCTTGCATCTCAAACACACAGGCAGTAGCAGGACTGGATGAAATAGCCAATAATGCTCCCCTACAAAGCACACTTTTCTAGTTCCTGAAACATTCAAGTCTTCTAGACATAGTCTTACACCCCAGGAAAGTGCCTAAGCCCTGATTGCATCTTTACCATCTCATCTTCTTTAAATATTCCTCATAAGTGACTCATAAGTCACCCAAAGCTTCTGTCTCTGAAACATTTCCTTATCACAGAAAGAGTGGATCGTCTGTTGGATTGCAACTTGTTTATATGAGTAGCATTTTTAGGTAAGATTAGGTGACACCCTAGCTTCATTTGCAATATTTCCAAATCACATCATGAAAGGAATTATTTTCTGGGAAGATTTCCATAAGTGGCTAATGTCATTTGTTTTATCTAGATCCTTGTTAGCTTCCTTTGCTGGGGGGTGCCCCATGACCTTTTCCCTAAAATCTTAGAGGGTTCCTTATTTGAGTCTAGGTCAAAGATTTAGTGCTGAAAAGGACCTTAGAGGTCATCTAGTCCAACCCCCTCATATTAAAGCTGATAAAAATGTGGTCTAAAGATGTTGAGTAACTTGGCCCACATCACACATATAGTATCACTAAGTGGCGACGCTGGGACTTAAACACCAGGACCTCTGACTCCAAATCTAGCACACTTTCCATTTTGTTTTAAACTTAATTGCACACAGAAACACACACACACATACGTCACCAAATTGGTATAGATTTAATGCAATCTAATAATGGAAGGGGCTACATTAGGAAGGTCAAAAATCCATGACAAAGTCTCTAGAGGCTCTCACCCTAGTAGACTAATTACATATATCTAAACCAGTGACCCACATGTAACTCAACTCAATTCAGGACACTGTTCTAGAAACTGGAGATACCCAAAGGTACATGTACAGATAATGAAATACAAAACATGCCCAAAGTATTGATGTTCAGGTGTTCAGAAGCAACTCATGGGCAATGTTGTGTGACAGCGTTTGCATTGCCCCTGTTATTCCTCATAAGGAGATCCTAGAAACCAAGTCAGTGAATTTTATTTCCATATTAAGCAAACTAGTGGAATCTCTAGTAAATAACAAGATAATTGTTCATGAAAGTGAGCAATTTTTTTCAGCAGCACTATCATTTCCTCATCTGTACTCAAAATTTTGTTACTGTCTTTGACTCACCCCATTCTCCTCTCCCTTATTTCTCTGTTTATTCTGACTCCACAGTATGTCTCATAAATATCCCACCTCTCTATTCTAACAGGACAGAGATTGTTTTATCTAGACTTCATATCATTCCCTAACCTTGAGCACTTTGCAGTGACCTGCAGTTTAGATCCTAAATGTTTGTTGAATTGAAGTATAATGTATTGAGGCAAAAGTAACACCGTTTCTGTAAAGGAGGATTATGCCCCCCCCAATCTCTGGGACTTTTTTGGTTGAATATGAACATGTGGAAAAAGGGATATTGTAATTATTATTTACATAGACTTTCAAAAATCATGTTTTTAAAACATTTAAAAATATTATTAATGTCTTTTGTATTTATATCACCTGCATTTCTCTTTGTATGCCTCTCTCTCAAGTCCTTCCACAGAGTCATCTCTTATTAAAATAATAATAATTAAAAAGAGGAAGAAAACAGTTACAACAATACCGAAGACATCTGACATTATAGAAAGGAAGAAAGGGAGAGAAGGAAGGAGGAAAGGAGGAAAGAGAAAAGGAGGAAGGAAGGAAAGAAACAAGCTTTTATTAAGCACCTACTATGCGTTGGCATTTTGTTAAAACTTTGCAAATACTATCTCATTTAATCCTAACAAACTTGGGAGGTAGGTGCTATTACTATCCCCATTTTACCAATTTTACCAAAAAAACTGAGGCAGACAAAGGTTAAATGCCACTTTCAAGAGGCCTGTCTTGATTCTCCCAGTTGTTAGTGCTACCTCTCATAACTGTGAATATCCTGTATCTCCTCCCTCCCCACTCCACTCCACTCTATTAGGTTTTCTGAGTCTTGAGTGAAAGGAATGTTGCAATTCTGTATTGGTTTCTCAGTGTCAGGCCCAGTTCTGGCAGAGTACACATTTAACCAGTGTTTGCTGATTGGTTTTCCTAGGCTCTCACCTTTCCTCACTCTACCCCCATTTCCAGCCCTGATGATTATACTGATCTACAGGCTTTGCCATTTGAGTTGCTGGGATATGACAAATACATTTTCCACAACCCTATGAAAAATTTACTTTTAAACACAATCTTTGGCTTTAAAAGTGTCATTTACAGTTTATTATGAGTAGCTTATATCTAACTTTTTGGAGGAGGCCAATGACAAGGTTAGGCATGGTAGTGTGGCTGGGTTACTATAGAGCATTCCTCAGCCAACTACACATACTCAGTCCCTCTTGTTCAGCTCTACTAGACAGAAAATATCTAATCTCTAAAGCAAGGAAATTCTTTTCTCTTTTCTTGTCTTCAGTTCTCTTTGAGCATTAAGTAAAATGCAACAAACAGATTAGGTTTTCTGTTGGCCAATAAGTTTTTAATCAGATTTTTTTTTTAAACTTAGGAATGAAAGTGAACGTTTAAAAGAAAGACTGAAGCAACCTGAAGCTCTGTGGAAGCTTGTCAAGTGGGCTGACAGGGATGGAAAGGGAACAAGGAGTGAAAGTGAATAGATAGCCCATGGGAACTTATGGGTCCTTAAGGAGAAAAAGAGAGGGAGGTTAAGAGTATGTCACTATTTCTCTTCCCAACTCACTTTTGATCATCAGCACAGATTTTGCCTAGCTCCTACTTGGATTTCTCCCATCCCTCTGGCCCAGGAATCATTGCTTACACCTGCTTACACCAACATTCTAAGAGCTTTTTATTGTTCTGCTTCCATATCATCTTCCTGCTTCTGTTAGTTACCCCCTGGATACCTCTTAATCTCAAAATAAGGGTCAGGAGTAGAACTTAGGAATCTGGGTGGCCAATTCAACAATAGGTCTGTCCCCTCCAGGTCTCTTTTTGGTCCCCATACTCTCCCACTCCCCATTGTGGGCATGGCTGAAGGCATATATATATATATATATATGATGTAAGAACTTTAAAAGTATCCCCAGGGCTATTAAGAAGGTACTGATTTTTAAAATTAAAATATTAGCTTTACATATTTGTAATAATTTTCTTCTTAAAGTGAATGAATTTAAAAAAGCAAATGTAAAAACAATCTCAGAATTCTTTAGTAAGTTTTAGTAAGCTTCATTGACAAAATATTCTTCAGGCCCAATCCCTGCCCTTATAAAAAGTAAGGGAAGGACTTTTTCAAGCTTGGTGATAGAAGCAACCTAAACTACCCCTCGCTCCACCCATCTCTTGGCCCTTGTCCCCAACACACATCCACAGCCTTCTTTGTATTATTATTATTGATTATCCATGAGTTGGTTTTTTTAAAAAAATCTTCCATATCAAGAGTATATTTGATTTCTTTTTTCCATTGGAAAGTATATATTTGTAGTTTATTTAATACATTTATTAAATTATGTATAATATTGTTTAATAAATGCTATAAAAGCTGCACACAGAGAGAAAAGAAGCAAGATTAGATGCATGTGTGTATATGTGAGGGGAGGAGCTGATGTGGCTTGCGAGAGGATGGACCTTATGCTGATATTCAACAAGAAATCATTGACAAGCATCTATGTGCTAGGCACTGGGAATAAAATGACGAAATCAAAACAGATGCTACCCTTAAGGAGTTCATATCCCAACGTGGGAGATAACATGCAAATATAAGTATATACAAAGCACATACAAGGTGATCTGGTATGGAAGGTACTAGCATCTGGGTAAATGCACTAATACTCTAGTCCTCAGCTTAGAGGAAATTCCAGAGGTCACAGGTTTGAAATTTACCCATGGGTCATATTTCCACAGACCAAGTACACAGGTTTAGCCCTCAAGTGAATAAGAAAACCCCATTCCCCAACCAATTAAGAAACAAATCACAAGGAAATTTCTAAATGAAGTAGTTTGTTGCTTGGAAGGCAAGCTGGTGTAGTATAGAAGAGCTGGTATCTAGATTTGGATTTGCTAACTAACTGTGAAAACTTATAACCTCTCTGAACCTCAGTTGTTTCATATATAGATCATTAAATTTTAGAAATTTAGCGAAATTTACAGCTATAAATTGTTGTGGAAGTGAAGAATTAGTTTGGAGTTAAGAATTAGGTTAAGAATCATGATGGTCGAACTAATCTTCTGTCAACAAAAACTCTGACCTCTTTTATAACACATTCATGAGTTATATACGATCAGAGACCAATTTTCAGACTGGATAGACCATAGGTCTGACCCGGAATGTCAATTCTTACCTACTCATATTTGTAGGAAGAGATCTATGCCATTTCTAAAACTGACCCACATCTCCCTTCCCTGAGTACAAGCTCTGAGTTTCTGCATTGTATCCTTAGTATTATGCCATATTAGGAACCCTCCTTCTCCCGCCAAGATTTTTCTGTGTCCGTGTTTGCACTCTGGGATAAAGAGAAATTTAAACTGAGAAATTAGAATCTGTCCCTCCTAGTCAAAAGCATCTTTCTGTCTCTGCAGCTGGAGACCAATTTCTGTGCTCATGGCTGGGGGAAATTGTACAACAGTGAATGAATTTGTCCTCCTTAGCTTCTCTGCCTTGCAACCCAAGCTTCAGGCACTGCTCTTTCTTGTGTTTCTGACTATTGAACTCATCACCTTAATGGGCAATGCCCTTATTATACTGGTCACTACAGTTGATTCTGGCTTGCACAGTCCAATGTACTTCTTCCTCAGGAACCTGTCTCTCCTAGAGATTGGCTTCAACCTGGTCATTGTTCCTAAAATGCTGGGAACCCTGCTTACCCATGATACAAATATCTCTTTCCTCCACTGTGCTGTTCAGATGTATTTCTTCTTCTTCTTTGGTGCTTCAGAGTGCTTTCTTCTGGCAACTATGGCATATGACCGTTATTTGGCCATCTGTGACCCCCTACGCTATCCAGTCATCATGAGTCACAAGGCTTGTGTACAGCTGGCTACTGTCTCATGGTTATCAGGACTTCCTGTGGCCACAGTACAGACGACATGGCTCTTCAGTTTCCCATTCTTTGGCTCTAACCAAGTGAACCACTTTTCTGTGATAGTCCACCTGTGCTGAAATTGGTCTGTGCAGACACAGCACTCTTTGAGATCTATGCCATTGTAGGAACTATTCTGGTTGTCATGGCCCCCTGCTTATTGATCTTGGGCTCTTATGTTTGCATTGGTTCTACCATCATCAGGATACCTTCAGCTGAGGGAAAACGTAAGGCCTTTTCCACCTGCTCTTCCCATCTCCTTGTTGTCTCCCTTTTCTATGGGCCTGGGAGCCTTACCTATTTCCGACCGAAGTCCAATAACTCCCCAGAGAGCAAGAAGTTACTGTCACTATCTACACAGTGGTAACCCCAATGTTGAACCCTATTATCTATAGCCTGAGGAATAAAGAGGTAAAAACCGCACTCTGTCATATTCTCCACAGAGCCCTGGGATCCCGGAAATTTTGATCTGAAGCTCCAAGAGTTACTCTGCCTTTGACATTACAGCTATAGGATTGGGGAGGATCTTAGGGGCCTAGTTGAGAAGAGAAGAAAGTTTGATGAAAGGAGAATAACTCTGGCTTGGGGGATTCCTTTCCTCTATGCCCCTCTCAGTGGGAGGACCAAGGAAGACGAAATACTACTGAGATCTCCCTACAACATATACAGTGCAGAGAAAAAAGCAAAGGGATGAATGAATTGTCAGGAGGTAATTCTACCAAGCAGCCAAGGAGTTGATAGTGAAACTACCTTTCACCTGATATTTTGAATCCATAGTTGTCACCAAGGCCAGTGGAATTATGGGACAACTCTATCCAAACACTCCACGTATACACATTTCTATATTTGCCAGAATGACATGCATTACAGCCAAGTTATAATCTCTTTGTAATATGAATTTATGGAAGTGGAAGGACAACCAGACTGTCTGAAGTTCAACTTATCACTCCTGCTGCCTCCAAAGATGACTGTTCTTTTTGTAGCAGAGACAGGCAATTCCTTTCTAATTCAACAAATACTTGAACCCTTGCTAAGCAATGGAAATACAAAGATAAAAACAAAATAGTCCCTGCCCTCAAGGAGTTTGTATTCTACTTGGGGGAACTGCCAGCTCCCTGGCAGGCTGCTAATTGGTATATTTACAGAGAAGTAAATACAATGTAATGAGAAGAGAACTCTGAGTGAGATCCATGGTGTGCACCAGGAAAGGTAAGGTCAATTTAGAAGGAATCCAGGGATTCTAAGAGATGGAAGTGAGGAGAGTGAACTCTAAGCATAAAAGACAGTTTGTACAAAAGCATGGATAAGAAAGGGAGAATACCAAGTTTGGGGAATAGCTGATAGTCCAGTTTGGCAGAACTCTTCTTATTCCTTGGCATCCAACTTAACGTCCCAGAATCAATGTTTGGCCTTTTTGCTGATTGTCTTTTTTCAGTCTGGTTAGAAAAAAATAAGTGTCTAACATCAATATACCAAATCCCAATCTAATGCCTTTCACGGAATAATTTCCTAGGATTTCTACTCCTTATGATGAAAGATCACAGCTCTCTTTAGATCCTGTTTTTCAATTCTCACATTTTGTGAAAGTTTCCTTCCTACATCATGCAGAGCAAATAAATAGTAATGGCATTTCAAATTAAGACTATGAAGTGGAGAAGAGATGCTATATTTGATCAAATACAAACTAAAAAAATCATGCTAAAGGCAACACTTTATAGACAGTAGAGGACTGATTCTCAAGATCTATCAAAGAGTAAAAATTCCATAGACTAGATTGGAAACTTTTTAAGAGGAAAAAGTAAGAAGATGGTAGCTACCACTAACACATATACCTTATTTCTCATATCTAGAAAATCTTTACAAGAATGATCTATGCACACAAGAATATGGTTGATGATTTTCCATAAGAGACCATTTGAAATTGAAATATTTATTATTTACTTATTTAAACATTCTTTTCTTTATAAATTTTGATGTGCAGATTCTTTTTCTCTCTCCTACCTCTCCCCCACCCACTGAGAAGGCAAATAATGTGATACCAGTTATACATGTGAAATCATGCAAAACATATTTCCATATCAGCCCTATTGCAAGAAAGAAAATAAAGTGAGAAAAGTATACTTTAATTTGCACTGTACATCACTTCTCTCCCTAGAGGAGGACAGCATTTTTTCATTGTGAATGCTTTGGAATTATCTTAGATCACTGTATCAATCAGAGTAATCAAATCTTTAACAGCTGATCATTACAACATTTCTACCACTATGCACAATAATCTCCTGGTTTTTCTTAATTTGCTTTGTATTAGTTTACATAGGTCTTGCCATGTTTTTTTTTTCCTGAAACACTCTGCCCCATCATTTCTTATAACCATCACACTCATATGTCACAACTTGTTCAGTTGTTCTTCAAATGATGAGCAACCCCTCAATGTCCAATTCTTTGCCAGCTGCTATAAATGTTTTTGTACATACAGTCTTTTTCTTTTTTCTTTGATCTCTTACGGTACAGACCTAGTAGTGGTATTCCTACATCAAAGGGTATGCACAGTTGATTAGGCCTTTGAGCATAGTTCCTGATTGTTCTCCAGAATGGTTAGACCAGTTTACTACTCCGTCAATATTTCATAACATATCTATTTTCCCTCATCCCTCTCCAGCATTTGTGGTTCTTTCAGAATTGTTTTACTTTGTCTTTCTCTAATCAATAGTGATTTAGAGTATTTTTTAAAATGTAACTATAGATAGATTTGACTTCTTCTTCTGAAAATGTCCTGTTCGTATCTTTTGACTATCAATTGGGGAATGGCTCTTATTTTTATAAATTTGATTCAGTTCTTTATATATCTGAGAAAGGAGGCCTTTACCAGAAAAATTTGCTACAAAATTTGATATTCTTTCATTGTCTATAGTACCTTTTTTGGGAAATGTAGTTTCCTTGATTATCTTTCAATTATGTCTAATTTTGCTTTTGCTTTGTCTGAGGTCATGATTGCCACTCCTGCCCTCTTCACTTCAGCAGAAGCATGATAGACTCTGCTCTAGCCCTTCATTTCAACTGTTTGGCTTTCTGTCCCAAGTGTCTCTTGTACATAACATATTGTTGGATTTTGGTTTCCAATCCATTCTGCTACTGCTGGGTTAGCTGCTACTGGGTTAGCTTATCACATTTCACATTCACAATTATGATCACTCACTATGCATTTCTCCCCATCTCATTTTCTTCTGTTTATCTTTCTCTCTCTCTTTTTATCCTATCTCTCCTCAAAAGTTTGTTTTGCTTCTGACCACTGCCCCATATTTCATATCCCCTTCCCTTCCTATCTCCCCATTGGATATGATAGATTTCTATACCCAACTGAGTAATACATATATGTATGTGTGTATATATGTACGTATGTGTATGTATATATGTGTACACACATGTGTGTGTGTTCTTCCCTCTTTGAATCAATTCTGATGAGAGTGAGGTTCAAGCATTGCCTGCCACCCTCATTCCCCTTTGCCTACAAATAATTCTACTAATAAAAGTTCTTCCTTATGCACCTCCTTTATGTGAGAAAATTTACTCCACTCTACGTCTCCCTTCCCCCTTCTCTTTCTTGAATCCCTCTTTCTCACCCCTACATTCTTTTTTTTTTTTGAGATCCACTTTGTCTCCAGATATCTTAAGTTCTCTATAATATCATTATCAGCCTCACAACCCTCATGAAACCAGTCTCTTAAAAGTCACCAATCTATTCTTTTGTTTTTGTTTTTTGCTAGGCAATGGGGTTGTGACTTGTCAAGTGTCTGAAACTGGATTTGAACTCAAGTCCTCCTGACTCCCAGGCTAGTGCTCTATCCACTGCCCCACCTAGCTGCCCCACCAATGTATTCTTAATAGCCGAAAATTTTTTTTTTCAGTCTTCATCATTTTTCAATTCTCTATAGCACTTAACTAATATGATCAGTCATCTTCTTTTCTGAATATCCTCTCTTCTCTTAGCTTCCCTTCTCTACATCCTACTGATTCTCCTATTGCCCCCTAATTATTATTTCTCTGTTTCCTTATTGCCTTCCTGATCACTTAAAGTGGGTGTTCTCTAAGCAAAGTTTTATGCTTGGTTTCTTTGACTGCTACATTCTACTTGGATATTAAGGAATGATGGAAAAAGTATTGGACCTGGAGTCAAAAGAGACTTGGTTAGAATCATGCTTAGTAGATACTTACTAAATGTATAAACCACGAATAAATCACTCTCTGAGCTTCAGTTTCCTCAGTTGGACGATTAGGATAACAATAACTTTTGTGCCTACCTCATGGGGTTGGCTTTTTTTTTCCATTTAAAAAATAAAGACAGACTTAAAAAAGTGGAAAGATATTAATTGCTCATGGTTGGGTTATACCAACACAATAAAAATAATAGTATTACCTAAAATAACTTATCATTCAGTGCCATACCATTCAATCTACCAAATGAGTACTTTATAGAGCTGGGAAAAAATGACAAAATTCATCTGGAGAAACCAAGGGTCAAGAGTCCCAAAAGAAATAAAGAAAAAAAAGGTAAAGTAACCTACCAATACCAGATCTCAAACTATACTACAAAATAGTAATTTCAAAATTATTTGGTATTGGTTAAAAAAATGAAAAGTTAGTAAGTAGATTAGATTAGGTATATAACACTCAGATGTAAATGAACACGATGGCATAGAGTTTAATAAATCCAAAGACTTTGACTACTGGGGTAATTCAACAAAAACTACTGGGAAAACTGGAAGGTAGTGCAGGAGAAAATAGGTCTAGAACAAGATTTCACACCATAAGCACTAAATGAATACTTCACCTCATTATTTAAGGTAAAATAATAAACAAATTATAGGAACAAGAAAATACCTTGCACAGCTATAAATAGGGAAAGATCTCATGAACAGACAAGGTATAGAGAGGATCATAGAAGATAAAATGGAAAATTTTTATTATATGAAGTTAAAACATATTTGCACAAACAATATCAATAGTTGAAATGAGAAGAGAAATAGTTAACTGTGAAAAATCTCTGCAGTAATTTTCTCTGATAAAGGCTTAATATCTAAGATATATATGGGATTGAATCAAACATATAAAAAAATGGCAATCCTTCCTCAAAAGGTAAAAGATCAAATAATATGAACAGGGAGTTCTGAAAGGAAGAAATCTAAGCTATCCACGTCCACATTTTTAAAAAGTGATCTAAATTATTAAGAGAAATACAAATTAAAACAACCCAGAAGTTCTACTTTACACCTGACTGGTAAAAAAAAATGACAAAAATGAAAATGACAGTTATTGGAGGGGATTTGATAGAACTGTGGAATGGAGCTATTCTAGAAAGCAAAGGAACAGTACCCATAAATTCTCTGAACTGTGCACACTCCCTTACCTAGCTATATAATTACTACATCTATACTCCAAAGAGATCAAAGAAAGAGTAAAAGAGCAAAAGG